ACCTTGTGCCTTGGCGAATCTTTGACCATGTTCCCGCTGTGAAACCATGTGATTTTCGGCGTGGGATCGGCCGTGATGCGACACTCGAACAGCAATCGTTTGCCGTCATCTTCTTGTCTAATCGCGGGTTTCTTCGCGAAAGTCGGCGCGATGCCGTCAATTTGTCTGTAAGCATGAAATAAACATAGTATCCCAAGTCGAAATTTTTCTTCTACTTTTGACCTCCATTCAAATTCTTACATTTATTTTGATATTTTAAATAATCAGATCAATTTCTTACTTAGCTCATAGTTTCCATTTCGAATCAGAAAGTTCTATTAGGGTTAGCCGAAATTATTTCTTCTGAACGTTAAAGTAGGAAATTACTTTAAAATAGAAGTCCAATTTCTATATAAATCAAATATATTATAATTTTTTTGAAATTTATAATCGTTTTAAAACTAAGGTCAAAAGTAAAAGTAAAATTTCGATTCAGAACGAGTCTGTGGAAATGTATTGAATTTATCGTTTATTAAAGCGTTGATCATAGCACCGATTCAACCGAATCATAACGAATTGATGCAAAAATTGAAATGCTTTGCAAAAGTAATATGTCAACGATTTTAATTTTCGGCACAAATCGATCAACGCGTTATATATATGGACACAATAAAACCACAAAGATACAACAAAATCACATATGTTATTAACAAATTGCATGCTTCGGATTAGATTTATTTAACATTGCTCGTGAACTAAGATCCCCGTGCACAATGGAACAAGAAGTTAAGAATAGGAAATAAATATTAAATTTTAAAAATAAAATTAGAAATAAAGATTAAACATAACGCACAATGGACACGAGTAAGTATAAGATATAAGTATAAGATATAAGACTATATCTTATATTTACATATGTCCATTTTGCATTCTCTATTCCTAATTTTCATTTCTGAAATTTAATATTTAGTCCTATTCTTAATTCCTATTTTTATTTCTTCACTGTGCGCAGGATCGAACACTTCCATCTTTTCATCGTCTGATTGAGAGAAACAACAAGAAACACTCGATTCAAATTCTATCATTTATTCTTTTTTGTTTTCTCTCTCAACGAGACAGATGAAGAGATAAAAATGTTATAACTCCCGAGTAAAGTGTTGAAGAAACCTGCTGTAGATTGTAAACACATTCAATATGGACTAAAAAAATTAATACAAAAGATTAGTAATATCTTCATTTCTAAATAAATGGTTAAAATAATTAAAATTTCCTATATAACATTTTTATGCATTCTTAATCTCCTTTTTATTTTTCTCAGAAAAGCAAGGCTGAGTTGCTTGTTACAGAAAATCAATCGAATAATTCTTTATCATTTCTTTATTGTTGGTTAAATTTAATTTAATTTGTCTTATTTCTGAATGAAATAATTAGAACTTCTTCTAAAGTATCAAGTAAGAAGATTCGAAAGATGACAACATTTGAGTGAAGAGTAGCTTATGCGGCTGCTGTGAGTGCTACGAGATTTACCGCAATTTTCACGGATTGCTGCCAGAAATAACTCATGTTTTGTTTAACGCTTCCTGACGAGGGATAACTCGTCCGACAGCTTATCTTGATGACTATCCGACAGCTAACATCACTTTAAAACTCGACTCCGGTACATCGTCATTACAATCGATACTTTTGTCTTTCCGGCAATACTTTTTTCGACCGAGTTTGTCAAGAATTTAATTTCCAAAAATACACAAAAAAAATTTGAAATTCTGAATTAAGTTAAACCCCTAAAAAATCCCTTTCTCAATAAAAATTTTTACACACACGTTTCTTCTGATCTCCTTCTATTCCTATCTATTTCTTTAAAAAGCCACAGATAAGTGGCTTAAGACTCAATCAAATAATTTTTGCTCTCTTAATAGAACTTATTTAAATAAAATTTTCAAGTTTAGTTTTGGATTAGAATATAATAATAAAGGTATAGAATTATATAGAATATAATAATAAAGGTATTCTAACTACGTTAATCTCTCCTTTAAATTATTCTTTACGGCAGAACCGTGCGATGCGAGTTACGATCGCCGGTGTTTATTCTCGCAAATTGAGAGCCGGAACGAGAGGCACGTGCCTAACACTCGCATCTCGAATGGGCCATAAGTGCATTAACACGGGTGTACGTTGCAGCTAAGTTTAGCGAGGAAGTAGGCTGCAGCTGTTTTCTCTCGACTTTCACCCTCGCCAATCGCGGATCGATTTTCGTTTTGCGCAAGCTACGAGCTTTCGATCGACATTTTGCGCCTTCGACGAATCTGCTCGTTTGCCGAAATGCAAAAAGTCCCGCCATCCAGAGAGTCGAGATTCTCGCGAATCTCGCGCGAATTGTAATAATATTTCACGCCCTCTAATAAATTATCTCTCGCAGTTGACCGACATTTTTTTTCGCACCGTGGAACGCGATCTGCGACACGTTTTCGGGAGACGCGTGGAAGGCGCTCGCGTTACTTTTAGAAATTCACGGGAATCAAGTCTGTCGATGCGATCCGAAAATACAGCTTCTCGTCGTGTCGTCGCCGCCGACTGCGACTCGAGAGCTCGTTGAGAACACTCTCGACCCAGTTTCGAATTATCTTCGAAAATCATTAAAATCGCAACGAGACGAGGGAATAAATGCAAGCGAGAAGAGATTTGGGAACTGATAAATGCTTTCCGCTTGTGGAGATTGCACATCTCGCTCGATTGATTTACCAGCTGCGACAGTAAATCGTGGCTTTTTTTCATTAAAGTAACGTCGAAAGCAATAATAGACTTCTCGCGAGTCAGTCTTTTTAATTATGCAATTAATCGAAGAAATATTTCAACATTTTTTACGTCAAATATATAAAATAATATAAACAATTTGATGTGAATTGTAATAATAGCGGAAGAAAATCATGAATATCAATTTAAATTATAAATATTTATAATATTAATATTAATTTTTTACTTCATTGAAATATACAGGAATCATAAAAAATTAAATAGAAATTTTTATGTCTATCTTTTAATACAATGAAACCTTAACTCTGCAAAATCCCGAATGGCAAGATTTTCCGTACAAAAAAATGTCTCTTAATAAAACAGAAAAGAATTCTATACAAATTCTACAATTGATTGTGAGAATTAAGTGTAAATAAGTTTTCGAAATTCTTCCTCATAACTTTCCATACTTCCATCTATTATGATCCACTCTTTCATCTCTCTATTAAATCTCATCAAAGTTGAAGTGGTTTAATCAGTCTATTTTTCTCCCTCAATCTGATCGCTCTCGACTTTAGTTATAATATAGATAAATCATAAACCAGGCAAGATTTAGTGGCTTCTCTTTCTCTCTCTCTCTC